TCATGTAAAGGCAAGAGGTGATTGAACCAGGCAGAGCTTCCCAGTTATGGAAAGAAACTTGGCAGAACACACACTTACAGTCTCTTAAAGGTAAGTCTGATATGGCACACTGTCCTAAAAGGTTCACTCTCTAAACACATACAGCTCCCCTACAAATTAACATGTTTTTCTCTCGTTCTGTCATTAGGTGCCATTGTGGTGCTGCATCTCATCTGCTTTCCTCTGTACTGCCTCTTCCACCTGGTGGTGCATGCTTCAAAAGACATGCTTCATAGACAGCAGGGGGAAAATCAGCAGAGCAAGGAATAAAGTGGCAGCACATAGATTCAAAAAAAAGTGGAGAAAAATAGAGATTTGTACACAAGAACTCTGAGGAAAGACAGGTTATACAGTTACTTTGTTTGACTAACAGAAAGAAGAAAGCCGTAAAGAAAATATGCAAAAGAATACAGCTATGAACTTTTGTCTGAAACATTTCCTCCTGCACATGAAAGACTAAACACCAAAGAACATATAATTCAGAACTATCAAAAAGCTTGATACTAAAATACATTATACATTACATATTATACAAAAGCATTCATTCTCAGGGTATTCTGTCTTTTTTCCGATAGATAATTTAGAGGAGCATCCCTTTAAACTGTTAAAGGGAAGTTTGCCAGGCATAATTGGCCATCAAAATCCTGTATTTTGGATGTAAAAGCGCTTATTTAGCCTGTTTTGGTGCTGGCTTTCTAGAGCTCAGGTCATCTGTCTAAAGGACAAAGTAAAATCCTTAAAAACATTGTGGTGGGATTCTACCACCAAAATGGACGGTGCAGTTKACCGAGCTTTACATTCTGGAGCCAGGAACAGATTCTGACTCATTCCTATTTTTCCTCCTACTTTCCAACGAAACCAACCAAAAAGACACCAATTCTTGGTAGAAATTAGCAGCCTGAGTGTTTTGTTGAACTTAGACCTCCATATTCATTTTGAAATCTCTAGATATCCAYGAAACAACATGGGACTGCATTTCAGAATATTCCATCATGTATCAGTGGTTATCAGCTCKGCAGAGACCTCTCTTTTTGTGCAGCTAAGGATAGGAGTAAACCACACAACCACTAACCTAGAGAGATAAAAGATAAAGAAAAACCATCATTCTTTATATACCTGTTACTTAATGTCCATTTGGGCTATAATCCAGAATGGTCATAACCTATTTTTTTCAGGCTGTTCTGGCACTCCTACAAGTCTCCCATTTTAATGATTCTACAAATGAATAAACAGGAAGATTTGCACCTGCACATCAAAGAAAAGCATTTGCAGGCATAATGAGTTTTGCAATGAACTTGCACAAATGTATCCTAGCAAATCCAACCTGTTACACTTTAACCCTTGATCATCAAYATCTATCAAATATTTACCCAACTGAAATTACAGTGCAAAGGTTTCTGCTGAGGGAAGCAAAAAGAAAATGGTCAACAAGACTGAAATGCAATGAAGGGAACAAATACACACAGACGCAACTTGTTTAAAAGAGTAGTTTGAAATTGAAATAACGCTGGACACTATCAGCCAACATTTTACAAGCCTTTTGTATGATCCAATTTTTCCAGTCATTTCCCCCCACAACGAATCTGAAACACTGCATTAGACACACTCCTTTCAGTCACCTAGGAGGATCATCAATGATATCACATTTCCCAAAATGAGTTACATATTGCCCTACCTCACTTGAATACATACACGATATCAAAAGACATTCATCTCAATGGGGAGTGCAGGAGCATAAAACACTGCATGTCTCCTCCTATTGATTAATGAAGATGACAAATTACATTACAAAGGAATGTACACTCATTGCAGCCAGTTCCTCACTCAYACTTACTACCCAGCTCCAAATTTCAAAATCAAAAAGAACTGGAAGGTTTTAACCTTCMATGTTTTCCTTTCCTTTCCTGTCCTTCATTTTCCTCTTAAAGAAGAGCCAACAAGACAAAATCCTTTTAAATGACAACAGCTCACAATTGAGACACCAGAAAAGAACACGTTTCTTTGGATACAGCAGACACCAATAATCTTTCCTCTTCCAGAGTTCTTTATATTTACAATTACTACAAGTATTATTGATAATCCACGTATGAGGCATTTCCTTCTTGTACAAGATGAAAGAGCTACACTATAACTGTAAACGTTTGCAAAAAGAAAGTAAAAAAGAGAGGCATTTGTTGTAGCAGCAGTAGGACAACAGACATTGGAATACAATTAAGAACTTAGTCATTTAAATGTTAAGAGCTTAGATATTTTTCTAGTCTCTCACCTTTCATTCTCTCCCGCYCAAAACACTCACATTATTTGCATTTTACATTCTCTTTTGATATTCTTGTATATTGGGTAGTACTCACCTCTTCTTTGCCACTGTCCGGCACCCTGCAGTAGACATCTCCTGTTGACGGATTATAGGAGTCTATGTAGGACGAACAGGGAACAAATTTGCCACCTATAAAGTTTTCCAGCACTAAAAGACTCTTCGAGGAAGACATTGTTAGCAGCTCGCTTTATCTATTTTTTTTTTCTGAAGAGGTGTCAGTTTAGATTAGTAGTTTTATATTATTTGCACTGCTAGTTGAACTCCTCCCTCTCGCTCTCYGTCTCCTCTGCATCGCTCACTCAAAAGTGGGAAGGAGCCCCAGCAGCAACAGCAGAAACAAAGAGGAAAGGAGGAATAATTACCAGGTTTGTGATACTTGTTTTTTCTCGCAGTTTAAGCACAGATGCAGAATAAGATGAGATCTTAAGAAGGTGCTCCTTTATGCATCCAGAAAGCAAAATACTAAAGAAGGTAGAAAAATAATGGCTTGAAATGGAAATTTCTTCATGTAACAGTTTTTCAAGGTAGAGAAAGCAGAAAGCTATTTTGTAACTACTGTTATCAAGTAATTCAGGACCCTCAAGTCCAACTCAGGACCCACTCCCTATCTCCACAACATATAGCAAAGGTGCTTGGACTGGCATGTCTGTAGCTCATGTTTACTGCTTCGTCACCACATTTTTGATTGTAACCTTTTTCAATCAGAATAATCCCCAAAACATTAACCAGTACAAGAGGCTGAGTGGTTCTTTGTTTAAAAAACTATGAGAAGTTGCACTATCCTACACGATATACCCTTTCTGGTATACTGTTTAAACTTAGTTTTTATAAGCAGCAGCTAACAGGAGCTTTCCATGGAATGGAAAGCATGATATTCCAGTGGAAATCCTCTTCCTAATGTTACACACAGGCTTCTGTTACTCAAGTTTTGCTTTGACATCCCAAGAACCTGCAACTCCCTGTAATACAGTTGCTAGAAGACACTTTTCTCCAAGATATACTTTTTAGATTCCTAGAAATTGGTCAAGACTGTCTATCACCCCTTGCACTACCCCTTTATTCCAACCACCATTGCCATTTTAAAGAGGGGTATCTTAATCCCAGAAGACTGAATATGTAAATCAGCAGTTTATGAGGTTTTACACCCTAGACCAGCGTTAACTCATAAAACTTCTTGTGGATCAACATGGAACTGTGTCTTGATTGAATAAAGGTGAAATGGTTTTACTGCCCAACAACTGATTTATTCATTAACCATCTGAAGCCTCTGGGCAGAGCTCAGACCCACGCTGAAAGACAGGCAGCCTTGTGTTGAAACTATAACATTGGGAAATCCTTTTAGCTATCCCAAGCTACAAATTAGGAAACCATGAAATAGTTTTTCTACAGTCACAGAGTACAGAGCCTCAAAACCTATCATGCATTCGTATGTGAATAGGGTTATTGGAAGTTCATTTTCAGAATTGTGATTCCTTACACATAAGCAAAAAGGATTTTACTGAAGTCTTAAAACTGAAGAACCATTCTTCCACTTCTAGTGTTTTAGCTGATCCTTGACTTAAAACCAATCTAAACATTTTTTTAAGTTTGAAGGCAAGTTCTAGTGGAGCAGGTTCAACACAAAAGTTTGGCAGCATGAAAGTGCTGGAATACTACAAAGAGGGAAACCTTTATGCCTGTCTTATAAGTACTGGAAAGTATTTAAATGCAATTAACAGACTATGAGAAGTAACACGTAGCACATAATTCACAAGATAGCTTCAGTCTGGGCAGTAACAYTTTTGATATTGTTCTTTAAGATCTGACATCAGTTCATTTCACTGATGCTTCTAGAAACATGCATGGAGTCAACAGGACAATTTACACAGGTCAAGTGCATGTTTGTGATGAACTGAAGCTAAGCATGCGACTATAAAAAAGTAACCTCTCACTAAGTGTGGAAAGAATATATATGGACAAGCATGAGCACATGGCTTTGCACTAAACAGCAGTCAATTTTCTGTGTTCTTTACTACTCAAGAGATGGCCATATTTCAGTAAACTGAAATGACTCATGCTTTGGAGTGGGTATTTTCGTTCTTTCCTTGCACTATAAGCTAGGATAAAAATTACAGTCTTCTCCATACTGAACTCATATATATGGTTCCCAAGATATTTGGGGTCCTCTCTCAGTTCCTATAAAAACCTTCAAAGGTGTCTGAAGGTTTCCAAGGTGAGGTGGTCAAAGGTGCCTCTCCTCGATTTATGCTGGAGATGGCAGAAAGGCCCGATATAACTGATCGGTGAAGTGGTTAAACCTGTCCTCTTACTGAGAAATGGGAAGGAGTTACAGGTTGCAGCAAGCACAATTAATCTGATTTAAACATATATCCCAAAATTAATCTCCCAATTGGTGTTCCAAAGATCATGAATTCTGAGTGAAAGATATATATGTCAGGCAGTAAATATACAAACATGAGCTGAAAATTAATTTCACAGAAAGAAGCTTCATAGGCCAGTTTCTCATCTTAACTCATTAACTCATATATGAATTATGGAAATCAATAAATGATTTAACAGAGTTAGAAGTATTTAAATAACAAGAGATCAAAGAGGCAAAAATTATGCTCAAAGCTATTTTATTATTCTTACATTTTAAAAAATAAAATTAGCCAATGTTGGCACAGCTTCCACTACACTGCAAAAGAATCTTTTAAATAAATTTGGGGATAGAAAAAAAACAATCCTAGGATAATACTACACGTCATTTTCTGTAACTGTATAGTTCTTTCTTCCCTGAATATGCATTCAACTCAAACCTCAARATATATTAGACCAATTAAGTTACTTTACTGAATTAATGTGCAGCAAAAAAAGCAAATCAAAGAAAATAYGTAAACAATTTATGGCTGGAAGAAGTTTGTTTCATGATAATTCATCATCTTATTCTCTAATTGAACTTTCTAAGCATGTTTCCATCAAGCTCTTTAAGGGGTAATTCCACGTGGAGAAATACATGGACTCTTGAGATGAGAAAGTGCAAAATTAACAACTCCTTGTCAGTTGGCATCTTGCTCTGCAGTGAGAGACACTGATGAAGGGCTCCCCAGAAGTCTCGTATGATACGACTTTCGTCATCGTATTTTGCCCTCAGTTAGCYGCACTTGTTCCTTCAACTGAAGTAACTGGGTTCTTAAAAGTGTAGATATCTGATTGTGTTTTGGTTGCATTGTGGAAGTTCTGGAACTGCTGTCATTCTTTAATCTACAAACAAAAGCAAATGGAAGAAACCATTTGAAAAACAAAGTCCTGAATAGTCATACATTTTTCAACATGAAATTCAGGCTTCAATGCACAGTTGACTGATGCACATAATTCCTTCTGCTCTGACATTCTCTGGAACAAGATCACAAGGACTAAGTGGTAATTCCCAGAGAACAGTTAAAGAGTTATTCAGTCCCCAATTCTACAAACATCAGGTATCACAGATTTAAGYAAGATCCTATTCACCCAAAGTTGAATCTAAGCATAAATGGGTACAAGATTAAAGCCTAATTCYAGATGTTCTTTTAGACAAGTTACGAGCATTAAAGCACCACAATAAGCACACCCTATGATAGACCAAGGACATTATTTCTATACACGTTGTGGGAAGCCAGAAATTGCCAAGATCTAGTTCCATTTTGACATTAAATGACTCAGCTTAGAGTCTCTGTWAGGGTTGTTAATGTGAGATTATATTTCTCTCCATCAGACCTAAAGTTTTAACTTAAGTTCTGATTCAAAAATAATAGCTAGATTTTGAAAGYGACAGAAGGACATTTTTATTTTATTCTCACAGAAGGTAAAACAGTCGTATTTACTTCCCTAGTCTGTGCTTTCTCCCACTGAAACAGGACCAGAAAATAACTACAGACATTGGTAAGAATCAAATACACAGCTACTTTTAACACTGACAGAGTAAAATTTGGCACAAAACCCAGCCACAGTAAAAATGGCTAACGTTTCTTATTTGCAAACATCTTTTGATACATTTACACAATCCATTTGATTTCAGAACAACAGATGTATATTAAAATCCTGAAGGGTTATTTTTAACTGGAGAGAGAAAAAAATAGGAGTTTAAACATTTGTTTCTTGAACACAACTGTGGCAAACTTCCCATACAATTTTTTTTCAAAAGAATAATTTTACAAGTCAGAGGGCATAAAATCAAACAGGACTGAATTCTAAAAACATAATGTTATATATGTTGAGAGTACAGAAAGTCCATTATAAGAGCATCRTACCTCTGTGATAACTCCTGCAGCAATAGTGGAACCACCGTAGCGTAACATAAACCTCCCCAGCTCTTTAAAATCCTTATACAATTCTAGAGCTACAGGTCTTTGAGTCTGTAGTTCTACTAAAGCATTCTGTCCTTTAGTCAGTAACCTGCAGGGTCAAATAAGCAGAAAATCCTATTGCTAATTCAYATATGCGTTAATTGAAAAGAGAACAATGAGTAAAGGAATAAAATCATCCTGTAAAGCCAAAAGAAATTACAATGACCAAGACCAATCTCAAGCATAGCAAAGGCCACAAGGCTGAAAACATATTTGCTTGCAGCGGGTCTTTAAAAAAGGTATTCATGTTTGTTTTAAAACTTTCTAGGGACACATTTGACAAATTGTTTYGAAGTTAATTATCCCATTTAATAACTACTTTTTACATGCAGTGCAACTCTGTCTTGTTTCAAACCCAGTCCTAGCAACTAAAGAGCATGTGGGGCTTGTTTACTTCACCAGTTCATTATTTYCTAGAGGTCATTCTCTTCCCATTTTCTTCACATTACCTGTCAGTGACAATTTCAACTGTGCATTTTTTGCAAAGGATTTTTCTGATTATGCTGTAGCTGTCAAATAACACTTCAACTCAAACAGAGCTTCAAATAACAGAGGGATGTTCCCAAAGCCCAACTTAAGTGTTGGAAGGAAACAGATTCAGAGAAACCTAMATCTGTTGTTCTCCAACCTCACTGCCTAGCAGAGTTTATTTTAGGCAGTAACACACTTCCAGATTTATACCAGTGATCCCATCTGATTTCACAACAAAGGTATTCCTAATCTTGTCTCTTTTTAAGTATAGGGCTGCTGATCTGGAATTCATTCCTGACCCTGCAAGYAACCTTCGCAGAATCCCAGGATGGYTGAGGTTGGAAGGGACCTCTAGAGATCCTCTAGTCCAGCCCCCTGCTCCAGCAGGGACACCCAGAGCACGGGGCACAGGGCGGCAYCCAGGCGGGTTTGGAAGAKCTCCAGAGGAGGAGACTCCACAGCCTCCCTGGGCAGCCTGTGCCAGGGCTCTGKCACCCTCACAGYGAAGAAGTTTAGGCAAGTCATTTTACTTCTTGGGTGATCAGTACTTAGTAAGTGGGTTTAAGCAGTTGCCTTTTATTAAGCACTCTAAAAAATATAAATGTGAAACCATTCCAAAAAGGAAAGTATATTTTCATGTCCTTATAAACACATTATTGTTTCATAATAAAATCTCCTTGGTTTGCAACACACTAACCAAAACACAGCTGCCCGTTCCTCCGGTAATTATTAACTATTCAACACACTCACTTACTTAGGTTTTTTCTTTGTCACTTCACCAGTGCTTTTGTGCAGGACGCTCAACAATCTTCTAATAGTAGCAGGTTCACTTACAGTTTGATAGTGTAAGAGCACCTAAAATAATTTTACTTTGTCAGTTATTATGCTCTCTAAAATAAACAGAAATCCTACTTGTGAATATTTGAAATTATTAAGGTCTTTTTAATTAAGACTAATTCTGCCAACAAATATTTCCTAGTTTCTCACGGGAGGCTGCACCTCAGTTTCAGTAACTTTTCCTAATAACCTAACTTCTTTATCTCTGTAGATATGACAAAGGTTACTATTTAATTATAAATACATTTTTCATTTTAAGTGCTTTGTTTGTGCCATGTCAATATAATTTTCTGGCATAGATTTTTTTTGGGGTATCTTGCAATCAGGTGCTTCATTATTATACATCCAACAGCTTTTCAATGAATAACCTAGACTCTGTGATAGAACACTGTTTAAAATTGCTTAGCTACGTATCAAAAGTCAGTGGAAGTATGCAGGAGCAGTCAGAATAGCACCTCACATCCTCTTCAAATTACAGACAAATTAGGTGTTTCAATCAGGGGGTGAAAACAAAATTCTATTTCAAATGAATSTTTAAAAAARAAAGGAGGGCAAATGGCAACGAGAGTCAAGAAACTGAGTCACATATAACAAAAATAACRACTTTCAAGAGACTCACAGGAAATCCTTTAGTGATTGGAACTTCAATATTAAAGATGAGAATCCGAGCTCTGAAACGGGTACAAGCTTTAATTGGTTCCTTTGGATCACAAAATACACAGCCCACACTGCGAGAGGGAGAATTAGACAAGTTGGGGCACATTGTGATATAAAACTGTTAATCACTTACACTGGGCAAAAAAAATAAGAACAGAGACAACAATACTGCAATATAATTAAAACAAAAATCAGAATATCTCACRAAAACCCATACCCAAATTATTTCCTAGGTCATGTCTATGGTATTCTGTGGGTATGCATGAAGAAGTTTGTCTAGTTCAATGAACAATTACATCCATTGCTAACCAGTTTCTAAAAATGTCACCATTTCCTGTACTTTGAAGAATTAGACTTTCATTAGAGATTATCTGTTCCAGARCAAGAGCACTAAGTACTGAGGGCTGCCCAAAACTGCAGTGCTAATTCCCAAAATTCAACTATTTGGTGAACAGATGATGATCACTATCAGGACTGTCAAAAATTAAGTTCTCATCAGCATTCACTTCCAAGAAAAGATCCAGTAACTCATGTCACAGGAAAGTCACTGCCTGTTACAAGTCACTCAAGTAGTCTAGGCACAGCTCTGTGAGAGCAGCTAACTTGCTACCTAAAATGAAATGAAAACTAATCCCACAAAGAAACACATGACCAAAGGGAATTAACAGCACAAACTTGCAAGTCAGGTGAAATGGAATTTCAAAGAGTACTTAAAATTTGTTGACAAATTTAATGTATCCTCAAGAAAAATGACATCAAAAGCAAAAATTGGATCCAAGTCTCCAGTCAACAAGTAGAACAGTATTTATTTTCCTCATATCTCATATATCCTCATTTATCACAATGTGGTAAATGAAAAGTAATTATGAAAAAGAAACACAGAATAAAAAATCCTGTACTTCTTCCCTAAAAAGCACTATTAAAGCAAGTTTTTCAAGCAGTAGCTGAAATCTTGATGTTTGAAGCCCAACTAAAATGTAGAAAAGCTATTCAACTTATGGATCCAACCACCTCACCTGAACAAGAATTGAGAGGCAGCAAATACATCCTCCTCAAGGCTTGAGGCCATGCTTAGCATGAAATTTATACACTAAAAGCCATTTGCTAAATGTCCTACAGAATACATTAAAATAAGGTTAGCAAAACCTTTATCAAAATGGAAAGAAGCTAGGTGTGTCAAATAAACAGCTTCCCATCCATCCATTTGTTCAGTTTTGAATATTGGCACACAGTGGCAATTGTTTTGGTAAGTTTGGTTACAACGCTTAATGATTTGGTAAGTTCTTCAAAAAATCCTTTGTTTCCTTTAGCAAAATCTAGCTAAGTGGATGATTAGGATAACTTAAGAGAAGTCTTAAAAGGAAAAGCTTTTGAAGGCTGCCAGTGTCAGCACTCGGGCCAAGTAAGAACACTAGCATTGCTCTTCTGAAGCTGCCGTTGTTCATACAGCAGATGTTTCCAACGTCCGGACATGCGAGCCAGGTGATATGCATCACTTTGGTTTTAAATATCCTGGTAGCCAAATCATTCTTCAAGTAAACCGCTGATCATGAAGGGTAGTAGTTATACAGCTTTTCATTAAAAACAAACCGTTACTTAGACTGAAACTCAGTTTTGCTCACTTGATTTTGATGATATCCATGCCGGTCAAAGTGAGACTAACGTGATCTCCTGCTGCAGCCCAATCAACTGGTTCATCGTGCAGTGTAATTCCTGGAAATGAGTAAGAACAGAACCTCACAGTGAAGTACCTAGGTTCTGAGCTACAAACAAACAGCTCTGTTTGGACCAGTTGTGCTTCATCAACCATTACTCATCAGTTTTCAATATGAATGGGTTGAGAGTAAAAGCTTCTTAACTGAGAACACTGAGGAAGCATTTTTTTCTCCTTGGTGAGGACTCTCTTGCCTCACCCCACCCTGCACACAATGGCATGGCCCTATTTAAGCAAAGAGGGGACTTGGCGCCTGTCAYCGTGCGGATGTCACCGTGCGGATGACGCAGTCCCGAAAATACCACAGCACTAATATCTCTGCCTGCCCCACCCATCCTTTGATGCACACGCACACCCTAGACCGCATCTTTCATATACTTTAATAGGACCGTGTCAACTTTCATTTACCTTAAGTGGATTTGTTGACTCTTTCACAAAAAAAAGCGTAACAGACGCCTTTCGTTCGCAACGACGTGGCATCTGTGAGAAAGCCTCTCTACAAGGAATTTTATTCTGATTTTTAAATGCATTTGAAATGATTTAAAGATAACCCGGCTAAGTAGGGGAAGACAAAACTAACTGCTCCCCATTTAACAGCCTGAAGTTCTGGCAGACACCAAGAAAAAAAAATCTCAGCCAAAAAAGGCACCTCATTTTATAAATACTGTACACGTTTATAGGATATAATTCTATTTCATTGCAGATTTGCTAATCTGTTGCAAAAAGCACCTATCAAGATAGGTGAGAAAGCAGCATGCAAATGTTGGCATGTTAAGCACTTGAAGTTCAGTTTCTTGAAAAGAATCCTAATGCAGGCACTACCTTCAGTTAACATCATAAGATAAATCACACACTCTTAATACCACCGAAAATAGATGCTTAATGAACTAATTCCCAACCTTTATCTGCATTTGAACCATATGAGATGCAACGTGTGTAAGAAAAAATAAATGAATTAAATAACTGCATAAATGTACTGGAGGATTCTCAGACAAAATCCCTCTCTTCGCAGGCCACGTGGGGATGCGGCCCCAGCTGCCTGAGGGGTGACTAGGGCAGTCCGATACCCGCGCCAGCTCTCACCACATTCCCTTGCAAAGTGAGCAAGGTCTGATCTTTACAAAGGTCTAATCCAGCATATCAAAGAGTTTCCCAAATTGGCACTGGATATAGCCTGATTTTCAAATCAGAATGACAGCTGCATCAGCAAATTGCTGGATCCAGGCTAGAGGCACAAGCCCATGGATTTGTTTTGAGGGATTAGTGGTTAACTCATTGGTCAATGCTGCAGGAAAGCAAAAAACTCTGCAGTACAAAGACAATAMTTTTAATTATGAAGACAGTAAGCTTCATTATGAAACAGATAAAGATTTTTATCTGCTGRCTTAAATATTCCTTTTTCCATAAGTCAAAAGTATCGGTAGTATTTTAAATAAAACTTTCGACTCCTTTGTAGCTGCTCCACACAATTATATTCTAAGAGTATGGAAGGAGCAATGGTAAATATGATGAACARCAGCACAAATTTAATTATCAGGGGTTTTGCATCTCATTTGTAGGAATAATTTCTATATGTTGTTCAACACGCTCACACTTTCTGGCAATAGTAGCCCTCCACAGGCAAGCTGAATATTAATGATTCCTGTACTACACATCCTTACAGCAGTGAATTGTGGAGCTAAGATATTTTTATGGATTCTTCATGAAAAAAATGTAAAAAGCCATGAGGCTACAGCATTAAAAGTACCTGACGCTGTAAAAAAAGGTAAAAAGCACGAAACATTTCACATATTCTTCACAGACATATTTATACAGACACAGTCACATCTGAAGAAATTCGTTTTATGCTTTCACATTTTATGTTTGACAGTTAGTATCAGTTTGACAATCCGTTACCATTTCAGTAACTGCTGCGAGCCCAGTATTGACCTGAAAGTAAACAAGCTTCTGAAGACCTACCCTTTGCAGTGCAAGTTTCATTGGGAGGCATCGCCAGAAGTCGTTCTCCAACCTGAATATAGCCTGCTTCTATTTTACCAGTCACACAAAATCCCGATCCTTGATCTGAAAAATCACAGAAATATTTTAAAGTGACTTAATAGCAAGGTCAATTCCAATTTTCATGACCACTTCAGGAGTGCACAGACAGTTTTAAGTATAATAAAGCTTTTCCCCCAGTAGAGAGTTCAGCACTTGCAAGTTAGACAGCTGTGCCTCATAATGAAAATGAAACATTAAATTCAAAACCCCTAGATCTTATATTTTTCAGAACTTATATCCTTCTTTAAACAAATGTAGGTGCATGAAGAAGTATGTTTTAGTTTTTCAGTATTAGATTAAGCTTCTTATTTTCTAGCAATTTTATTTAATTCGGCACTTTCATTACAACTACAGACARAAACATTCCACAGACACCTTACAAAAATTCCCAAAGACAGACCCCAATTCCCGAGCTCCTTACTGTTTAACTGACTCAGAATCCTGGAAGCTCCATTTGCAGCCTTCTTTTACTCCTAGAAAGCCAAACATTGATTCTGCTCTATCTAACATGAGAAGTTATTATAACAAGGGATGTCTCAGTATTTCCGAGTACAGGATTTACATATAGTCTTCTTCTTGAAAGTCCCTATACTTACCTAATACGCAGTTATTTTAATTGCACATTTTAAAAAAGGTGCAATACAAACCTGCTCTGTGCTTCTAGCACTACACACATTTACACATACCCCACTTAAATGCGCTTAAATGCCTCATCTGCAGGTATGTTTATACAGAATCCTCTGACATGATTTTATAAAGATTTTCACAGTCATTCCAAATGGCAAACAGACCTTTTGCTGAATGTCAGAATTCAGTGACAAGGAATTTAATATTTTGTGTATCATATTAAAACCACATGCTAAAAATTTCTTTTTTCTCATTAGTTATTGATGAATACTTCCACCTATCTAGCTGGAAAAGTTTTACTAGTAGTAATAAACTCATTTTCCTCTAATCATTCCAGCAAGTTAGATGAACACAATCAGTTAACAGATGACATAGGATGTTAAAAGAACTGAAAACTGGAAACAGAGACCTGCTAGAAAATGAAAAAAAAAAAAAAAAAAAAAAGAAAAAAGAAAGAAAATCTGCAAGTCATGGTACAACTATCACCTGGATACTGTGCACAGAGAACCCAAAGCTCCCTCTGCCAGCATTTGCAGACAGCCAGAGCCATGAGCTGGATCCAGGCTCCCAACCATGCTCTGCTCAGGCAGGAAGGAACCCAGGAGGAATCAAGCACCAACACTCCTTCCCTTAACACCACGAGGACCTGTCTGGCAAACCTGTATGTGGCCTAGGCCCCACTTGGTCACAAGCATGTGCCTGTGAAGTGGAAAGCTCCTTCAGCTCCCACAGCAAATCACTGCAAGCACAAGCCTACAGGGGCAGACAGCACCTGGGTATAGAGAGCCTACTTTTACATCCATCTCAGTACTTAGGTTCTGTCTGTATTTGCCAAGAGTTTCTGGTTGCTAGAAAAGACTGTCCTAAAGTTAAGTCATACTCTTGACAGCATTAGATTGTATATGGAGACTGGAGATGCTGGAGCTTAGAGGGACCTCTTAGTTCAGGGGGTAAGTTTGACTGMAGAGAATATTAGGAGGGCTAAGGGGGAGAGCAGGTAAAAAGAGGCTGAGTGTTAAGAGTGTTAGAATGGGTCCTATTCCTGTTCACGTATCCTGACACACAAAGTTCCTCCTTTTTCTTTTTTTTACATAATATTTCAATGCACATCTTCACATTCAGGTCTTAAATATTAGTAAAATGATGGTAAAAATACTATAAAAACAACCAACCTTTAAAAACATCGGCGACACACAACCTAAATGGTTTATCCACTGATCTTTGAGGTGGCTTGAAAGCATCTGCAAATAAATTGATAATACTTTTTAGAATTTCTGTATTCAGTGACTACCTCAATAACTGCTCCTTTAAAGGCAAATTAGCTATACTACATTCCAAAATATTTGTCCCACTTCTCCCCCTGAAGTTTTCACATGCATGCATACAACTACAGTAACATATTAGTTCTTAGAACAACTGCACTCACCAATTTGCTCTAACAAACATTTTCCTTTATACCACTTTGTGAGCTCATTTGACTGTCCCCTTGTAACTAAATTTTCTCCACCAAGACCACTTGTTGGGATATAAGCCACATCAGACTCCTAATTAGAAAAAGCAAACAGAAGTTAAAATACATTATAACAACATTACAACAACATTATAAGAAAAGCAAAGCGTGCATTTTTCAATATTGTGCTTCCAAGTTATGAAAAAACAAGTCAGCAAAATTATATTCCCCCTTATGGAGAAGGTGAATTCTTTGGCTGATACATTTCCATTCTGACCTATTCTTTGGTGGTCTTATGGCTCTTTACCAAAGCAAGAGGTCAGCAAAGCAATATCTAAAATGATGATTGCAATTATGTTAACTGGAAGCTGAATTTGAGTAGAGAAGTCCAACTGCATATCTGAAAGGCACATTCCAGTTTGATTTGCTGGTTGCAGGACAATAATTTCAGGAAGGCCTCAATTGACCACTTAGATAGGAGTTTGAACCAAAGAAATACAACAACAATAATTAAGAACAATAAATAATGTTCTTACTAGCTCGTAATTCACAATGAAACCTGCACGGATATAAAACCTTCTACTCTAATTCACGTCATTCTGAACAYTAAGATGTTCTGCTTTGCAGAAAAACCACCCCAGCGGACTGCAAAATAGATGTGCACCCAAAAGATTTAATAGACTTAAAAAAGAGCAGGGAATATTACTAAAGAGTATCAAGAACTGAGCCTTATCCAAAGCTCAATAAACACTCCTCCATTGGGACGGAACCTGCTGTACTATATGTACACACTACCAGAAGGAAGGTGTCACAAAATAACAACCTGGCTGAAACAACACAGAAACCTATTCCTATCCTCACCCCAAAACCTGAACAAAGCAAAGACCTCAGAAATTCACATTACCTTAAAGCCAGCTTGCCTAAGAAACTGGCCAAGCTTACTGGTAATTTCCTGAAATCTTTCCTGTTGCCAATTGACCTAAAAAGAGAACAAAGATTATAAAAATAGAATTCTAAATTGTTAAAAATTACAGTTTTACATTAAGCTTGAGACTTGAACAAATAGCTGCACATCACCAAATCAATAGAGTTGTTTTGTTTGTTCGCTTTACCCAGGGCATCTAAGAATGTTAAAGATGAGGTTCTTCCAAGCGGGTCAATCGCTGAATGGAGTGAGATCATACCTATTAAACACTTGCTGACAGCAAATACCACAGCCATAAATTTCAAAGTCCATTATTTGATTTGCCAATAACTAGAACCTTAATTTTTTAATTCACACAAATTTATATTGAGCAAGACATGTGACGCAGCAATAATCTGAGAGCCAAACGATAGCATTTAAAACAGTTTAAACATCTGAAGAATGGGCTTCTCCTGCGGCCTTGATCTGGATGGTCATCCCCACAGTTGCCCCATTGTTAGCTGCTTATCTGAAGTCTAGGAGGAGATTTTCATACAGAGCAGAGGAAATGCCCCCTGCTCATTTTAGGATCTGAACTGTCCTCCCCTGTGCTGTGAAAACRCACTGAGAAACTGAAAGAAAAATATTGTAAACACAGGGACTACAAGGCCTGACACTCAAAGAAAGGAAGAAATAAACCATTTTTAGCTTTATAAGTACTGACAGGCTTAAGGGACAAAAATCCTAAAGGAAGCCTTTCCACGGCATAGAGAAAGTAGGCACGTACCTGGTCCATTTTATTGACTGCAACGGCTAGCTGTGTCACTCCAAGGGAACGCACCAACAATCCATGCTCTCGGGTTTGGCCGCCAGTCTCAAATCCCGCCTCAAACTCTCCCCTGCTGGCATCCACCACCAGAATCGCCACATCGGCCTCAAACAAACAAACAAACAAACAAACAAACCAAACAAGAACAAAAATAACAAAAAAAACCTCCACACAATTAAACGGGCTAAGAGATGAAAACAATTCAGATAAATATGCCAATCAGCAACATTTCACACAAAACCTACTTTACACAGAAGGAAGACAGATATGCTCCAAATGCAATTAAAAGTGCTTATTTCTACCTCCCTGTTCCATGCTTGCATCAGTGAAATAACAWGGCACTGCATCATCTCATATCATAAACCACAATTTTATACAGCATACAGTAATACAGCAGCCTGCTCTTTGCTTGGGGAACCTGCCCTCTTTAAACTCCCCACCATGCTCAAGCTGTACACGCCGATACTCCACAAGCATAAGAACAGATACGAGTAAAATATTCCATTCTCCATGTAGGGTATGGCCAGGACTCTGCACAGAAGCTTGAGCCTGGACATAGTCCTACTGGGAAGCAGCAAAAATAACAAACCAACCACCTCAGCACACGGTTAGGAGAATCAGTGCGCTCCATACGGGATGAGGATGTTTCACAGTCTGCTCCACATGCTGGAGCACGTCAAGCTCACGGGCTGGCAGTTTGTGATTCACACACCAAGGCTCTCAAGAACACCAGAATGCAAGTGGAAAAAGCTTAAATAGCCTAATATGTATTTTATCACCTAGGGGAAATCTCTGTCAAGACATTAAGAGCAAATAGATATTGTGCTGTCTACAGCACCAAACAAAAGCTAACATTTAAGCAAAGGAAAAAAAAAATTGCACAGACTGCCTCAAATGCTGCTAATATTTCTACTAATTCACAACTTCCCTTCCAGAAGGTAACAGGTAGTTACATGACCATCACCTACCAAACGATGGCAACGAATATGAACAGGAAAAGCATTTGTGTCAAAGGTGGGATCAGAGGCAGTCAACTTCACAGGACATAAAGGAAAGCGAAGAAAAGCCCAGCTTTCTCCCTGGCCTTACACACACATGCTCCTGATACCAGGAGAGGAGGCCAGACRGAGCACGTTGTCCTAGTTCTGAATTCCCCTGACCTCAAAGAGTGGAACGGGGCAAGTGTGAGAACAGCCAAGGGACGAGGGGTGAATTTCCCCCCAACTCAAGCTCCAGTATGCACGCTGGTAACCCCCTCCTTCACAGGGAGGCAAAGGACACCCTGAAAGGACATCTGCATTTGCTAAACTGTAAAAACGATACCTAGGGACTAAAACAAATTAGCCATTTATTAATGCTCTGTACCAGATCCTGGCCCTGATAAGGCTGATTTGCATTTTGTGTAACAGCAGTTGGGGATTCACCTTGCAGCGGTGGAATTCCCAGCAACACAGTGGCATCGGGGGCATTCTCACATTTGCTTTCTTCCAGCCATTTCCTGAGAGGGTTTGGGCTACTCTGGGAGGCATCAGAGGACTTGCAAAGCTCCACTGATTCCCTCAGCACACGTCAGAAGAGCCCGGCCCCTCACAATCCTGGGGGCTGCACACAGAGATACATCGAGTCCTATTTAGGCAGGCTCTTTTTCTGTCAAACAGGCAACTGCTGGCAGGCCTTTTCTTACACGTGTTCTCTGCGTTACTTCACAAGACAACCCAGCTTGAATTAAAATTGTAATGGAAATGCTATCTGAGACATTTTCCAGTATTCTGGATCTACAAATACATTTCTAACTAAAAAAAAAAGCTTCCTGCAACACATTTCACAGTGTACATGATTATACAAGCCCTACACCACAATTTGAGAACCTCTGACTATGCTGTGGCCTAACCACTGAGCCACGAGATCTGAATCCTCCCCCCGGCCCTGCTACAGACCTAGGGTAAAATCGGGGGAAATCTGGTCTTCCTACAGTATGATTTCTCTATCTAAAAAACCAATAACACTTACCTACTTTTGCAAGGCATACTGAGATCTTAAGATAAAACTCTCATTTGAGACTGTGATAATAACACATATGCACAAAAAAAGCAACTCTAAATAGTGGCTTGCCTAGGGAGAGAGGGGAGTCATCAAGCCAATTTTTCTACTTCTGAGATCCAATTCCACTATTTTAAGGCAGCCACCTTTTTCAATAGGAAAGATACCACTTTGTTTCATGCAACTAGATGGTTTACTTGCTCTATTTGATTTATTACCTACAGGAATTAAATAATTGACCTAGATGAGGATGGTAAATACCATACTGAATTCACTAGGTAGCATCCTACACTTTAGACTTTACCCACAGTTCCCCCAAAGCAACAGGCACATGGAGTTACTGAAAATGACCTAATGAAGAACATAYATGCACTTTGTATCAATGTGGTATTCCAGATAACTACCAGGTAAACTTGGTATTTAGTCACCCCATACAAAATACTTGCTTAAATCAAAAGCCTTGTGCTTGACCTAGGCCAACCTTTTTTTTTTTTTTTCTGTTTCAGCTGAAAGCCACTTGAAATCTTTACCCCTAAAAAAATTCACAGAACTTCTTGTTTAACACAACTGCCACATTTGAATAGCTTTAAGAACGACTCTTTGATTTATCTAACTGTAACTTCGTATTCAAATTACTTCCCTAGTAAGTGTGAAACTCTCCTCCAAAGAGTTAACTTACCAAAAAAAGAGAAGTAACTGCTTTTTCAAAGTTTAACACATTTTTAAGTTTAGAAAAGCTCATGAAAACTTTAAAGCTATGTCAGTGGCATTAGTGATTCTATCTCATCTTCGATTTAAAAGGAAGAGGAATTTTTTTTTTTCTTAATGTTATATATAATACTGCTACTGTAGAAGGAGTTTGAGAATATACCTACCTGCGCRGCTCCTGTGATCATATTCGGAATGAAGTCTTTATGGCCCGGAGCATCCATCAGCGTAATTACTTTAGTCTTTGTCTCAAATTTGGTCATWCCCACATCCATTGTTACTCCCCTTAAAGGAAGCACACAAGGAAGACACCATCACAACTGCTTTGAAAGCTTCATAGAAATAAAAAAACCCAATGCAGTCATGAAATTCTATACGTTATGACTTCAATTTCATTTAGCCTGCACCAAGGGATGGAAAGAAGCCCACCTGCATTAGACAGACCTCTAGAGCTGCCTGTGGGTAACTCTAATCAGAAAGAAAACCAACACCTAGAGTTAACCCCATGCCAATGGACTAAGAGATGCAAGCTCAGTGAGAACATGAAAAGAGAACTTTAATGAGCACTTGATTCATTATTAGTTTTTTAATATTTTGCTCTTCAGAAAGAGGCACCATTCAATATCAGAAACATAAGAACAAGCAAAAACAGATGGTAGGGACTAAAGTAAAAAGGTTATAATATTTGCTAAGATCCACATTGAGAACTACTCATTTTCTAGAAGGGATCACAGCTCTTTCACTCAGTTCCACATCTGACTAATAACCCTGTTTCCTGCACAACACACGGGATGGATTCACCTGAGCACATGCAGACACCTCTCATGCACGTGAGCTAGTCAGCTGCATCTGAGCTAGTCAGCTGCATCTCCCCTCACTGCCAACAACCAGAAACAGGCCCGTAAGTTACAAGGGTACTTATTTTATTAGATACTTAAAATATGCCACTTCCAGTGGCAAGAAACATTTAGAGATGGCTCCATAAAGACTTTGATTTAAAAAATACAAAACTCCAATACAGAGAAAATTAAAAACAAGCAGAAATACCAAGTCAAAATTCTGATGATGATTGTTAATTTACTAAAGAAGAAGCAGAAGTGTGGTACCTCATTGATAACTCTGCTGAATAAAAAAAAAAAAAAATAATAATATTATACCCACTGCAGTTTTTCTGCACAATGCTTACCTTCCTGGGAGATTTTTCAYAAGGAATAAATACCGCCTTGTTTTTCACACATTAATTATCCTAATCATAGGTACCTTGTTTTAATAAAATAATGAACTTGGTATGTCCCCAATATAAAAGAAAGTGGCAGCACATGCAAAAGTTTCTTTATACACGTGGTGCATCTGCCTTTCAAAATATCTTGATGGTCCCTGCTTTACTCCATGTTCTTCACAATCACTTGGCTTTGTCAAAGTTATCTTTGCAACCTCTGCTGATTATATACTCTGAAACCATGAGAAATGAGCAACTACTAAAAATATAATTTATATTAGATAAATAAACTTTATCCTGCRATTCTAAGTACACAGAAGATAAACTGTTGGAAACACTATGTTAAGACACTATAAAATGTGTTTATTATGTTGTGAACAAATAATGTCATGTCTGTAAAAATACATGATTTTCTTAAACAGCTTTTTAAAATGAGCTTGACTGGATCCCCCTTATATACGTCTCCAGTGACGCAATTCAATTCTATTATTTCAAATTAGTAAGTTGTAGACAATGATCAAAAAGCACCAATATAATTAATTTATTATGAATTCATTTGACATTTAATGGAATGCAAGTCACACGTGTCAAATTAAATTCTACAGTGCTTCACTTACAGCCTTTGTACAACGAGTGCCAGGATTGCAATTTAGACCTTTTCTATAGGGAGACAACACACCAGAAAACTTGGCAACAATGAATTAGTAAGACAACCTTAGTGCTTCTGTTACTGAGGGTAGTACATCTCCTTTATTTTGCAGCTGTACTCTACAGTCTACAACATACAAATATTTTGAGAAACACTCAGCTTGTCCATGAGACTCATATAACCAGAGAAGGATATTAATTTTTGGATAATGGATGCTTATATACATTACTATTCAAATATCTGGTAGCAAGTATTGAGTAATATCATTAAACAGTTAACATGCTTCTACCAAAGCATGATTCGTAAAACTATATTAACTAACAAATGTTTTTCTTAAGAAAAAAAAACAAACAAAAATTTCTATTAAAAAGTAGTATTTCTACCTTTCTCTCTCTTCTCCAGTTTCATCCAAGACCCATGCATAGGCAAACGAAGCTTTACCAGCCTTCTTGGATTCCTGCTCATACTTGTGCATAGTTCTTTTGTTCACATTTCCCAAAAGGTAGAGCAGATGACCCATTAAAGTACTTTTACCTGCATCAACATGTCCTAAGGAGGGAAGTAAACATTTTATTAACTTAATTTACAAATCTTAGGTAGAATCTAAAATATATTGGAAAACAAAACACATTTATTAATAATACATATCCAATCCACAGTGTTATATAAACATATAAGTTTGAGAAGCAGAGAGGCAGGTAATTTGTGACAGTCCCATGCACCTTCAAATTCATGCTAAAAAACGGCAAAAATGAGACCAACTCAAAGCACCTTTTACTGCACTTCCAAGACTAAGCACCCCAGTCAACCTYGTATTCTAGTAAATGAAGTCTGAATGTGACTCTCTCAAAATAATAGTCAAGCAGATGTGCTTGAGAACAGTACTAGAGCTCTCTTCCCTAAAGACAGGATGATTTTGCTTCCAGATTTAACCACTTTAGATTTAATCAGTTTTTAATCTCTATACCTGCCTAAAATATAAATATGCAATTAACAGTATTACCTATTACCACCAAATTAAGCAGTTGTTTTCCGCCTTGTCTTTTCTCCAGCTCCGCTTTCACATCTATTTGTGGTTTTGTCTTGCTTGACTTTTTCACTGGAGTAGGCACCATATTCTGCTCTTCTGAAGCCTGCACTATCTGAGGTGAAAGAGTGGATTTTGAGACTGCCTCAGGTGCCCCAGCATCTTCACTTAACAGTCCTTTCTGAGGTGCATTAACATGGCCATTTTCTTCAGCAACAGCACTAGGGAAAACAAAGAAAACACACAAAACAGAAATATCACAGAAGTCTGTACAAATACAGGAATAAAAGCAGTATTCTTTATCACCATGTAAGCTCCAGACTGAGTATTTGTAACGAGCAAGAAGCCTATTAAGGTGTGTGTTGGGGGGGGGGGGGGTGGGAAGGAAAAAATAAATAAAAAAAATAAAAAAGAACTGTGCACAAACTACACAGATACCAGCTCTGAATTTGTCCAAAAAAAMCACTATCTGTATAAGCAAGTTAAGAAAGAATCCATTATAATACATGAAATTCAGATAAAAAAGAGCTTGTCTCTCACAGGCCCTTCTTTTAACAGGGAGGGAAAGGACAGCTATAAAGAACAGCTCCTGAGAACTAGTCCTCTCTGAAATAAGAAGCCCATGTCAGTTTGAAATATCAATCCTAAAATARCTTTCCTTTACACTAGAAGTAAGGCAGCTGAATGTGGTGATACTCTATTGTAAGAGCACCAGAAGTTAACACRGAGTAAATACTAGGCATATCTGCATTGCAATTTAGTGTCAAATGTCTATACAGAGTCGTAATAGACAAGCTGTGTTCATCAGGACAAAACTGTTTTAAGCGTAAAATAACAGGGCATCTAGAACTAAGGATGTGGATTCCCCAGGCCCTCTCTTCCTCCACCTTTCTACCACAGATCTACTGTACTAACCTTAAAACTCAGTAAGCTATGAACATTTTTCTCTTATATTCTCTCATGAACTCTTTCCAGTTTGTGAGGATATTTTCCTAACTCACCTAAATGGTCTGAGAATAAAAGCAAGATATGATTTTTCATTTGTTGCAGCAAAGCTGACCACTAAAAGCTGCATCTCCAAAGAGCAAAAGCTCTCCTGCAGGCTGGCAGACCTCCAAGGTAAAGCACGGCAGGAACAGAATGACACCACTRTGCAACACAGCACTTAAATACATAGATCACTGACCATTATACATTGCAAAAAATCCTATAAAATACAATATTTTAAATTATTTCCAATAAGATGAGGCTTCTTCCTTGGAAAATTGGAACKGGTAAATTTTTCAGCTGCAGAACCACCATGTTATTGGCTTCTTTCTCTGAAACTCATTTCAAGCAGCCTCTCAGACTTAAGTACTACAAAAGGAAACAGCATCGTCTCTCTTACTTTGTAGCACTATGAAACAACACTATGAAACATCACTTCTCATTTCCTATCTGCTTCAGTCCTAGTGGGAGCATTTCCTTTGTATTAGTCCCTTCTCTTTACACGGCTCAAGAAACAATACAGCTCAAGCATGCCAGTCTAACCCACGCAATAATTTACAATCTAYGATCTAAAAACTTAGACCTAGGACCAAATTTAGACCTCAGACCAAATGGAAAACTAGCCCATTATTGCAGCAGGGGGTTATTTTTCTTTCYTCCTCGGTTTCAGAGCCTTTCTCAACATGCAGTGCTGCAGCAGTGCACTGTGTTGCTGACTGTGCCACCCTTTTCATCAGACCCTGCTCAAGCTTTTACTTGACTGCCACTAAGAACCAAAAGCAGAAATGTAAGCAGATGGTTTTGGACTGCACGTCCACAGCTCAAGGCTGGCTCTTTCACCAAAGCCAGACCCAAATCTGATTTCCCTCAAATTAGTAAAGCTTGGCTCATTTTCTCCAATCTCTCTTCAGAGGCACCTCATGTCACAGAAATGGACTAAAACCAGTCCAGGTAGTAGAAAGAAAACATGCACAGAGCTGCAGTGACAAGCCTTTCTACATATCCTAACAATATTTTTAAAGCATCTGAATGTTATAAAGTACATCAGAGCAGTTTGGGCTGAAGTCATGTATTAAGAGCCACATGTATACACAGTTTATTTGCATTAGACGTCTTTCGTTGAGACTGGGACTCTTCCAGTCTTCCAAGTCATTTTTTTTTTTTTTTCAGATAAATTTCAGTTCACAGCATTAGAAAAACATCTGTCACTTTCACACTGAAGCACTATGACTACTGCTAATATGCAAAAGTCATACTGTAATGCAGATGTGATATTTTACCTTGGTAAAAAAAGGTTTTCCTTGAAATGCTGTCACTTGAAGTTCTAGAAATAAGTATTCGTATAATGATATTTTTATTTGTAGAGTGATATCAAAATAGCCTTTGAAGTCAGCAATGCATTTTTTTTCCMGTTCAATGTCTACGCTATTTCCAAAGCCAAATTTTCACAACTAAAAAAAATCTTTAAAAGAAGACATTAGGCAAAACTGGAGTTAATATAAACCAAAAACCTCAAATTTTTCTACAGCTTTCCAAAAATCCTCAAAGACTGTCACATCAAACCTATCAAAAGACAAAAATATGCACCTTGAAAGACAATTAGTAAGCTTCTAAATTCTCTTTGTTTAGCTATGTAAAGTTTTTTTCTAGTCTACAATTCTCTTGCAAGTCAAAGTGTACTCCAGGAAGGATTCCATAAAGCTGTATGGATGCTGAGCTGCAGAATCCCCATGGATTGCAGCATCTCAGAAAATCAAGGCTACTCACAGCTAAATAACCATTCCTATAGTAGCTCACAAGTAGCTCTTATTCTGAGTAGAATATGACTGCCAAGTAATTTCTATCTTGGGAAGTGCAAGGAAAAAGTGCTAGATACACTAGTGAAATAAAGACTGAAATATCAGTCTGGTAATCACAATATTAGGTCTTGCCACTAGCTCAATGGCATAAGATATGAAAAGCCAGGTTTCCTCCAATTGGTGTTTTCCAGCTACTATCACATTTTGGAAGTCTGAAAACAGTCTGTACCATGATCAAACCAGACTGGCTGTTGCAAAGGAAAAACATTCTAATAACACACAGTTTACTGTGTACTTACAGATGCTCTCTGGTGAGAGGATTCAGTTTTTTAGTGGGCCATGTTAGGAGAGGGAGTTTATTGATGGCTACACAGTTATATAGMCCTTCCTTTTCTAGATCGGAAGAGTGGCTGGTGAAATGTCCGATTCGAGTCTCGCAAAAGGATGCCTAGAGAGACCTAGCAAGACCCTGATGGTTACGTAACTCTCAYGGCAAACAGATGAGTAATTTATCGAAGAGCTTGGTAACAACTCAAAGAAGTTCAAAAGGATGCTAAGGAGCTGCATTTTTAAGTGTTGATGAAAAACAAATGACATCAAAACCGATTTTCGGTCTTTTCCACCGAGATTTTTCAAAATTACTCGAAGCTACTGAAAGAAAAAAAATTGCCAGAAGACAGAAGGCACAGGAGAGCGCGCCGATACCGGGCGCGTTCCTGTGCTTGCTGAACGACCGCATTTGGTGCCGAGGATGGGCCCAGAGTGCAGAGCTCTATGACCAGCAGCAACGCCCGCCAAGGCGCGACCTACCAAGGCGCAGCCCGCCAAGGCACAGCCCGCCAAGGCGCAAGGCGTGGCCCGCCAAGGCGCGACCTACCAAGGCGCAGCCCGCCAAGGCATAGCCCGCCAAGGCGCGACCTACCAAGGCGCAGCCCGCCAAGGCACAGCTCGCCAAGGCGCAAGGCGTGGCCCGCCAAGGCACAAGGCGCGGCCCCCTCTGCTGACGCCCTGTGTGGGCCTGACCACCAGTTACACAGCCCTAGAGCACAAAACGCTCACCCTGGCTTTTGCGTTAGCCCATCAGAAACTTCCTAAGCTCTGCCTTGCTGACTGGGATAACAGCAGACTCCCTAAAACATTATGGATGCATCACCATTTTTTTTGGAAGCACCAGGGGATAGAGGAACAGAGCACACGCYGTTGAAAACGATGCTAGAAGTCACTCATGCTCACACCGGCACGCATTCGAAGAAGAATCTGAAAAGTTTTATCTGCTGAAGACCCACTCTGCATAACCTAACGTTTAAGTATTATTTTCAATCTTTTACTCCGCGTGCTTAGTCAATTATTTTTATACAACTGACTCTTTCGGAGTACTAACAGTCATTACAGAAATGTCTACATTTATTTCCCCTTTCAAAATTATTAATTACACAGTGTTGGTCAGGATAGTTAAAATAATCACATTTTTGCTAATATCTTTTCCTGGCTTCCTTCATGACTAAATAGGAAGAAATAGCCTGGTCACTAGCTTTGGGTATCAGAAAGACCGTTTGTCAGACAGAGTCAAACAAACCACGTTTTCCATAGACAACCCTATTAAACATACCGAGCAGTGGCATCAAAGGCAATCAATGTGCACAGCTATTCACAACTCCAAATAATTCATTCACATTTTAAGTAAAATTCACTTAAGGGACAAGCCTCATAACAAGACTGAATTGTACAGACTGTAACATTAAAGAAGGGTCATTTTCGTTACTTCTAGGCCACTTTTTTGAAAACATAGTATGCGACCCTGTGTCCCGTGCTCTGGGTGTCCCTGCTGGAGCAGGGGGTTGGACTAGGTGATCCCCAGGGATCCCTTCCAACACCAACCACTCTGTGATTCTGTGAATTGTGTTTAAGATCACATACAAGGTGACTGCAAATTTCGCTCATACGTACTATGTAATTACTTGCAGTTTTTAAGTTTCTTGTGGTGTCTGTACCAATGCCATGYAAATATTGAGAAGGGGGAGAAGGCAGCAAACTGAAAAAGTTGATAATTGATAAAAATCTTGAAATTTTTGAAAAAAAGTTGATAAAATCGTGGAATTAGACTTTGCTGTGAATGCTATGAACAATTTAGGTCAGTGCTTTTGGTCAGTGATACACACTGTCTATTGAGTTCTTTATTGTCTGTGAATGCTTTTGGCACTGTAGTTACCAACAAAATACCAAGAAAAACAGGGGCTGAAAAAAGTTTATAAAAATACCCTTTCTTAGAYGTTACTAAACAGAGATTAATTCTGCTCCTTAACAACTCACTCTTATGCTGACAGTGTTCCAGGAAATAACTGCAGAATTAAAGAAACACTGGTACAGAGCAAGCAGGGGAGAGGGGTTAAAGTTCTGCTTTTTCAGATTCAGAAGTGGGTATGTGACAACTACAAAGACATGGTAAGCTTGTAAAAGAACACTAGTATTTCAGCTAACCACACAGTATTTAGCACATCAGCAAGACTTCACACAAAAAGCGTGAAAAGGAGTCTGTAGGTTGGACAGGAACCAGGTAGAGCAAACTCCAGTGCCCTGCAGAATCAGAACCGAGTGAGAGCAAAACCTCAGTTCTTCAAGACAAGGCCTTGTGCCTCRGTAGGGGTTCCACACTGGCCTCTGGGATGAAAGAAGAAAGGAGGCCATTAGGATTCTTTGAAGCAGAGCTCCTTGGACATGCAGATAGCTTGCCAGTTTCCACTGGACTTCCTTCCATATAGATCAGCTGTGCTCAAAATCTCATACTCTTCTCTTGCAAACTACTCCAATCCTAGTCTTCCCTGCTTGAAGCTCGTGTGGCTAACAAGACATTTGTTACCATCACACTGTTCATGCTATACTACCCTCCCCCTGTACACTTTCCTTACTTTTTCTAATCCAACTGAAAATTCCATAGGATAAAAACTGCTACAAAGTTCACCCAATTTCTAGAGCAGTGGAGGTTTGACTAAGGGAATTTAAATATCTTTACCACAATTAAGATTTATATTCAGAGGGATTACTAGCAGGTCCCTCAAAAGTTATTCCTTTCTGTCACAGCAAGCATTTCTGTCACTAACGTGTAAGCAAGCAAAACGCTAACTCGATTTCAGCATCACTGAAGAGAAACAAAGTAGCCGAGACCCATGTTAGAACCAAGCATTTTTCTCACAGACTAAGCCACCACCATGGCCTATCCAGGAATTACAACAGCCTACAGATGGWGCAGCATTCCTCTTACCTCCTCCTTCCCTAAGAGCTGGGCACCRGTACATCAGCAACTGCTGCTGCTTCAGGGCAGGCCAGCAATGTCAGGGAAGGTTTACGCAACATCAGCCTCGTGCCTATCAAACCTACTTCAATGCTAAGCAGTTTTAACTGCTTGCCCTCCATGAAGTTGCAATAAGGATGCACAACACACAGTAAAAGAAAGGCCATGATACCTTCTCACTCCTAAAWATGCTTTCCAGATGAGATTTGCAAATACTGTGGGACTGAATGGTGGAATATCATAGAATCCTTAAGGTTGGAAGGGACCTTTAGAGATCATGTAGTCCAACCCCCCTGCACTCGCAGGGTCACCACTGCTTTTGCTTACTAATCATTTCTGCTGGGGACGAATAGTGTAATTTCTTGATATAGACATKCCAGCTATTACAAGATTAGGTTCAAAAGCAAAGCAGCTCATCCAAGCACATTAACTGTTATGTAAAGAAACAACCTAACCCCAAAGGGGCTGCATGCACCACAGAACGCAGCGTGCAGTGGTATTCCACAGAATGTATTCCCAGCACACTTGACCTGTCCTTAAATATCTTTCTAACCATTAATGCTGGCCACTGCTGAAGATGGATCTTGACCCAGCATAATTTTTTATACCCTTGTAAGATATACCCAACTTGAAACTATTGAGTAGCATTTCTAATTTTCCACTAACTACTCTATTTTAACCAAAGCACAAGAAGGACCAATTTCTTTTCTACAACAGTTGTACCCTGGCCACCTGTTAAGGTTAATAAAAGCTGCAGAGGAAGGTAAAATTTAGCCGTAAGTGATCATTTTCCCCGCAAATTACTCTTAAATGTATTACTTCCTTTGAAGAACAAGCAATTACAGTTAAGATTTATTGATTTCATAATTCCACTTAGAGAACTAAATTTAAAATAAACGAACACCAAGAAAGTTCAGTATTCTATGAAGCGGATGTTTAAACAATCTGACTAGCTGATATCTCTCCACACGATTCATAGTGAAAGGATTTGTTAAACTCAAAACGTGAGGTACCCTCTTCTGAAAGTAATTGTGAGTCAAACAAGAAGCTGAGATGGTTAGTTCTGGAGAGTGACACTAAAACTGCTGCAAAAATAGAAAAAAAAAGAAGAAGAACACTTGCTACAGGTGCATCAGTCTGAAAGAAGAGCTACTGATGTACCTTGATGCAGGAGGGCTTGGCTTACCATGGAACTTCAAATCCCATAGATTGTTTCTTTCCAGACACTGTCATTTTGGTAACTTTTGGCACAATTTCAGATTCCATTCTGGCTGACTGGGAATCCTTTGATTTTCCTAGTAATAGATAAAAAGTAAGTTTGAACTTAAGGATGCAACTAAATATAAAATTATAAAATTTATTTTTAAAAAAGTAACATTCCTTCTTTTCAACCTAACTTCAGCCTGTGATAATGATGAATTCTCACAGTTAGTTTTCTTACTTGCATTTATTACATATTCACACAAATCCACCCACAAGCATTTATTGTGAAAAAATCTTAGCTGTTACCTGAAATAGAAAAACAGATACACCATTTAACATCGTTATTAATTGATAGTTCTGCAGAATTACAGTAGTATTTTATGGATAAGGAAGATGAAGAAAGGTTTAGTAGCTGCTCACTGTCTGGTTAATTCTTTTGCCTTTACATCGCTGGCTACTGTACAGTAAAACATCTGGCTCATGTACTCTTAACAGCAGYGAAGAGCTAAGTGTGAGTTACCAAGTTTCCCTGAAAGCTGGGAAAAAGTTTTTTCTTATACTGAATCACATTAAGTAGCCAAAAAATTCCAAAGCTGGCTAATTTAAAGGTAATTTAGGAGTAATTATCAGAGTTGGAAAACATAATTCCCTTTCAGGTACTAATTTTTCTATAATTAAAACACAGTTATAGTAAGGTTGCTCTGTTTTTAAATCAAATTCAACATATCTAATAGTGCATCTTACTGGAAATCTGTGAAAAGTGATCTACCTTTGTAGGGTGGGAATGGGGGGGTACAGAAGGTAAACTGGCTCTTATCTTTCCACAGTTTAATATGCCATGATCCCTCATTCTTGTAAGGATTCAGAATTGAATTGTTATTTTTAAGCAATCTTTACCTATAGATGACTCTGAACATAATTTGAGAAAAAGGCAGCTAGTCTTCAAATAATGCAATGATGCTGGCAGTCAGTCATGTGAATACTTATTTTGAACACCAAATTAATATTTTAAGTGCTTTAGATCAGATCATTAATGAAAGATGAGCTGTTGCAGTCATTTGATCCTGCTCATGCAGTTTAACTTGGTACCGTAGCCTAAAATACGAGAGCTATACCTTAAAAACCACATCATCGCATTGCTAGACAGGCTATGCATAAAGTTGTGGTCAAGACTGTTGAAGATCTGTTTCAGGTAAGGAAACAGAATACCGCAAACAGGTCTATAATAGACAGCACACCAAAATAGCTGACTTTTTTTTTTTTTTTTTTTTTTTTTAAGATTCTCACAATAGATCAAGATATTGTTATTTAATTGATTAGTCTTCATCTTCCTCATTTGTCTTATTTTTATTTGTATGCCATCTGGAGATCCATGGAAGAATTAATCGGTAAGGGTATTCTTAACAGCTGCATACTAAGTACAATGCAAACAAGGTATAGTCGAAACAAACAAACAGAAATATATAGAAGCCAGAGCACAAATTGTGTTTTACAGAAATCACAAATTATGTAGCTGTCAAACAAATAGTCAGGGTCAAAAAAATTCAAGTTACTGCACAAGGACCACCAGTTAAATAYAGTTTCCAAATCATCTTCAAGTTCCTACACAAGTAAAATTTTATTGCAAGCATTTATTGACTGTGATTAGTTAATCACTAGAGTTACCTTAAAACATACATTAATTTTATTGCCAACTTAGTTTCTTTCTTTCCATTTCAATTCTAACAACTTTCAAGCAGCCATCTCCTTCAGCCACTAAACAAGAAAGCTTTAGCTGCTGTTTGAAAGCTAAACTGCAGATAATTCTGAGAAAGTGCAATTGAAGTGTTGCTGTTGGGAATGAGAAGTAACAAAAACAATTATGAAATCGAAATGAGATTAGTTGAAGGAAACCTGGGTACCAATTGGTATCTGTAACTTGAAATCTATTAGCAATGTTTGTTATGTAAGGTCTAAAACTCAAAAGCTACAGCTAAAGAAAAYGTACAAAATACATTTTCTTTAAATGACTTAGATCTTCTCAGTGTCACTCTATGCAGCAACCACTAGGGTGTTTGACACTKATCCAAAGAAAGGTACAAGGAGACTCAAATACCTTCAGCGTATTAASTATTTAACATTTTCTTAGAAGAAAGTGATCTTCATGCATTTTCTACATTTCATACCACAATAATGGATTAAGAAATAGGGCAAAAAAGTGCAAAAGAAAAAAAGTCATAAAGCTCAGGACAAAATAAACTGGCCACTGACACCGAGTAGTTTGCTGATTTGCTTTTAAGCTGGAGCACTTCAATACAGGTGGAAGAAGGAGGTAGACAGGACACACAAAGGCAATGTAAAAAAACTAGTAATCCTATGGACAGGAGGAAGTGTCAACAGCGTATTCTAACCTCTGTGTTTTTATGAGCAAGTACAATAAAATCAAGCAGTGCTCCACACTTGAGATAAGGACCAAGTCTGCTTCTTTGAAGAACTTTGTACACTACAGACACCATCAAAGACTATTAATATGACCAAGAAAATGTTACTCCATATAAATAAAGTCTTCAGATTCACAGTGCTCTTCAAAGGCATGACGGGAGGACAAACCCAGTTGTCCTTGTTCCGTCCTCCTGAGGTCACTAATTATGAACTTCAATATGAGGGACATAAGTCCAGGAAAGAAGTATAATTTACTATCTAATCTGTAGGGCACTGCAGAGAACTGCATGATAATTCTTATCTGTTTTAGCACACAAGGCCAAAACTATTTAGCATTTAGCAGATTAAATGCAAATCCTTAAATTGTACCTTGAAACTCAATGAAAGTCAACACAAAACACTGGTACATTCTTTTCAGGAATGCTTCTTCATCATCAAGCAGAATATTCTATGGCAACTAAACTGGTTGCATCCCTTCAAAAAGCAGTAATCCCAATATAATTTGGGCAACCAGCCTCTGAAGGGAAAGGATAAGTCTTTTATAAACATCCTTCAGACCTACTACCAGTTATCTGGGCATCCCTAGACACAAAGCTAAGTAATGAAATGGCATATTTCCTAAATCAAGAAAACACACGACATAAAAACAAAACATACAAAACAAAAAACAAACAGAACAAGAAACAAAAATGAAAGAATAAAAAACAACAATACTGACAACTGAAATTTTATTATATTCATTATTACTTAGACTTTTGCCTCCTAAGCAAGCCCCAATGCCTCCTTACTACATTTAGCTGGGCTAAGCTAAAAGTACAAAAAAGGATCATATATATATATATATATATATATATATATATATATAAAATACATACATTTTCCAATTTGTCAAATTCTAAGCAAGCGATTTTATTGAAAATGAGATTACCTAATGTTGTTGTCAATTACCTAACTTAATACTAGGAAGTTAAAGAAATCTGTGAAAACAGAAAGCATATATTGGCAATTATTACAAAAAAAAAACCACCAATGAGTGCTTGTTGCTTTGACAGTTACAACAGTTCAAAATGCTTAAAAACAAACTTCTAGTCCTTCTTAGTCCTTCCTTATTTCAGTGACCCTGGTTTTCATAGAAACACTGAGTCTTTATTGACATCAGTGTAGCTGTACTACAGCACAGTGTGTCCACAAGATAACCACTACTACAAAAATAAAACATCCTCAAGCACTTAGCTCAGGATGAAGTTAGGATGAAATTTCCTCATATCAAAGGAAACAGACCAGTGGTGACATTACTCCAGTGCAACTATGGCAGTACCGACAAGACTGCGGTGTAGGCTTCTTTATAAAAGGTTCAGGCTTGAGAATTTCTTTTCATATTTTTGATATACACACACACACAAACACACACACACACACACACACACACACACACATTTTGAAAACAACAGGTAGGTAAACACTGGTCTTTTCTCTAATTTTGTTGGAAGTAGAACTTATTTTTTCAGAGCCTGGAACAGCCAATTGCTAGCCTATTTTATTCTCCATTACTTTTGAGGTACATAAAAATAACAGGAGACTGCTAGACTGCTAAACAACAACCATGTCAAGTAACAAATTTTGATACAAAATAATAGTAGAGAGTTAAAAAAAGGGGTTTTGTTGGCACATTTGGAGAAAAACATACTACTGCTAAGGATTTAAATCCACTTTAGCTTAGTTTAGATGACTATATCTTTCGACAAGAAAAAAAAAAAAGAAAAAAGAGCCATTGTTTTCTATTCCTACTTTTACATGGCAAATTCTCATACATTTCCTTCCAAACTGGACTCCTCTTGGTTAACTTGTACAGCAGCACTGGAACTTACAGGTGTTTGTTTGGGGAGGTTTTACTTTATTTCATCAATCCTTCTTTTGCTGCATTGCTACAACTCGGAGGGTAGTAAAGCACCAAGGAACCGCTGAACCTAGTTTTGTTAGGGAAAAAGTGCATCAAAATAGGTATTCACACAAAATAACTAGCAGGGTATTAGCCCCAACAGAGGCGCACACGCAGTTATCAGTTCCTGCTTTTCTGCTGGCAACCAAAAGCATCTTCCAGTTTCCCAACAACATTTCCATACTAAAAACACATATGCCTAATTTGAATTTAATAATCACATTAAATTCAAATGTATTTCTGTGGCAACAGCAAGCATCTAATAATAAAGATAATCCAYTCATCTTTCTGTGCAGAACACTCTCACTGCTGAAATAAGGGTATCATTTTTCCAATACGAAGTTTTTCTCCAACGGTTTGCTGGTTAATACAAAATGTCACTATTAATTTATATTAAACACTAATGACTATTTGCAAACCATAAGCCCTATTTAATAAAGTGCATTATTGCATATCCAGTCTAGCCACACTGAAAAGCAACATTAGCATACACACACACATATATACACCAAAAAAAAAAAAAAAAAAAAAAAAATCCATGTATAAAGCAACCTTATGGGAGTGGGTTAGGAGCTCTGTAAACCAGCACCACCATGAAAAACGTACACATGTAACCATGTCTTCTGATCTAAAAGATAATGTTTGCATCCTTGTTCTGCTACAGACTTTCTATATAACCACAAGGAAGTCACTTGCACCTTTGTCTACCCATTAAGCAGCAACATCCCCCAA